TACCATATTATTTCACTCATGTGTGGAATCTAAAAAAACAAAACAAACGAACAAACAAAACAAAACCAAAACCAAACTCATAGATACAGAGAACAGATTGGTGGCTACCAGAGTGCAAGGAGGTTGAGGGGTGGGCAAAATGGGTGAAGGGAATCAATCGTATGGTGACGGATGGTAACTAGACTCTTGGTGGTGATCGCTTTGTAGTGTACACAGATGTCAAATTATAATGTTGTACATCTGAAACTTATATAATGTTATATACCAATTTTACTTCAATAAAAATAAAAAGGTAGCCCTCACCAATTCAAGTGGGCATCATCCAACCCATTGAAGGCCTGAAAAGAACAAAAAGGCAGAGGAAGGGTGAATTCCCTCTCTCTCTTCTTGAGATGAGACATCCATCTTCTGCCCTTGGACTTTGGTGCTCTTGGTTCAGAGGCTTTTAGACTCAGTCTGGAACTTATTCCATTGGCCCCCAGATTCTCAGGCCTCAGAACTCAGACTGAATTACACCAGCAGCATTTCTGGCTCCCCAGTTTACGGATGGCAGATTGGGAACTTCTCAGCCTCTGTAACTATGTGAGCCAATTCCTGTAATAAATCTCTTCATATGTATTTAAATATATATCCTATTGGTTTTGTTTCTCTGGAGAACCCCGACTAATTAATACAGGTCTTTTCTCAGCAACCCATAGTCGTACCAAGTCAATTGTTTTACTACTTATTTCTATTTTCTTCCCTCATTCCTTCTCCCTCAATATCAAGTAGAATTTATTTCCTCTGTATGGGCAAACTGGTTCTGACATCATCATGTGTTCTTCTTGAGTTCTATTGTTTATAGTAACAACTTTACACTGTGAGTCCTTTGGGCTCAGTTTTTTGAGACTCAAAAAATAATTTTTTTTTCCTTAAAAAGGTTTCACTCATTGGATTTTTGAAACTTTGTCTTTTTAAAATGGGATTAAAGATTATATTTTAGAAGTCAAGTGCCAAGTATTTGTCTTTTTACATTTTCTGTGTTTGGCTTTCTCATGACGCTAACAATTTCAACCTGTTCAGTGTTAATAATAAAAGGGATACAGGATAAAAGACTAATTGCTAAGAATTAAAAGTGTTTCTATTTCAAAATATCACCCAACACAGGACCATCAACAAAGAGTTCATAGCCCAATGGAGGACGTAAGAAAGGTAACAGAGTCATAATAAAATGGATGGGATGAGACCCCAGACCTATGTGACTGGCTTTGCTTAGCAAAATAAAATGGAGACTCCAGAAAGAATATTGGATTGGGGAAAATGAAAGAGTGAGTTAAGTTGTATGCATGTCAAATTTAGACCTCCAAGCAATATCCAGCCAACAATGAAAGGGCCATGTCTATCAGAGAATCAGGTGGATAGATATAGTGGTCAGAAAGCATGGCTGGTCCTTGGCTTTTGTTTGCTTGTTTTTTTTGGTTTTTGTTTCTTTATTTATTCCCTTGGCTCATGCCGAAATTATTCCATTTGGAGAGGGAACATATGGTAACCTGGTCTCATTTGTCATGAGTGTGTCTCTCAATGATTTATTTGAACTGGGTACAGAGCAGCCACTTGCTCCATTCCCATATTTGTACAGGAAGGGAAAGTGGACTGTGTGTTTGTGACATTACAGTGGACATAATGCCCCCAAAGTGTCTAGGGTGGCCTCAGATATCTTTTAGAAGGGGTTACCCGATTGTAACAGAAAGTCTTTGTTCTGCCCACATATTAGAGAAGGAGAAAACCTGTCTGTTTTGCCTCATCATCAACTGTTTAACTATTTTTGTTTGTATTTTTGTTTTGGATGTGCACGCATATACATTTGCAGTCATGCAAGAAAGTCTGGAAGTTTTCTAGAAGGGATCAGGATCGGGCTGGGCTGGGCCATGATGTTGCCCATACTTCTGCCTGGTGGACCAGGATTAGCTGCCTCTCATTATGACGCAACTTTTATTCCTTTAACACTTAATTCTCTTGGTTCAAGAAGCAGGTCATGGAAACCCCAGATATCATGGCTTCAATGCAAAATACCATGCTGCTTTCTCTGGGGGTCAAGGGCTGGCCTTGTCTGAGGGCTGGCATTCTTCAGGACTAGGGCTAAATTAGAGGGTCGTCTGGAATTGAACACCTCCCCCCCCACCACATATACCCAGAACCATATATAATGTACCCAGATGTGCTTGACGATTTTATAGACATTTCCTGGATTGATATTTGGGTCTGCTGGACATTTGCCATCACCCGAGCTGTTCTACTCAGGTAGTGTCTCTGACTTGATTCTTCTGGTTACTTTCTCTGACAGACTTCCACAAATACTCAGCAGGCTGCAAATTGCCTTTTTGGAGTAAAACGATGTCTCAGCTATGTATTAAGAAATATCTAGCCACAAAGACTTCCAATAAAATCAAGAGGTACTTTGCTGAAGGAATGGAAAGGAATGAAGCCGTTAGTACTAAATTTCAGCAGACAAGCTATTCTCCGAGAGCGATCTATCATTTTTTCAGTAGTGTGAAGACAGTGGTGGCAATGTGGTGGTAGTTGTAGGAGCTGGTGCTCTCCTTTATGAGGAGGGCTGGCAGCAAGGCTTGCTCTGCTAAGGCTCTAGGCCTGGTCTGTCCACTAGCACTTTCTGAGATAGTGGAAATGTTTAATATCTGCACTGTCTGATGTGGTAGCCACTGACCACACACGGCCATTGAGCCCTGGAAATGAGGCTAGTACAACTTAGATGTGTTTTAAGTGTAAACAGCCCAGTGGATTTCAAAGACTTAGTATGAATAAAAGAATGTAAAATATCTCAGCAATCATTTTTTATATTAACTACATCTTGAAATAATATTTAGGATATATTAGGCTAAATAAAATATACTATCAAATTAATTTCAACTGTTTCTTTTTGCTTTTGGAAAAATGTGGCTATCAGAAAATTCAAAATTACACGTGTAGCTTAAAATATATTTCTCTCTAATTGGATTGGTGGTTACCAGAGGGGAAGAAGGGAGGGAGGAGGGCAAAAGGGATAATTAGGTACAGGTGTGTGGTGATGGATTGTGATTAGTATTTGGGTGGTGAACATAAGAACATGATGTAATCCATGCAGAAATAGAAGTATATTGATGTACACCTACAATTTATACGTTATAAAGCAATGTTACTGCAATAAACAAACAAAATGGCAAATGAATGGCAAACTCTAGGCAATGAAGAATTCTAGCTGCATTGGAGGGCAAGGGAACTGCGGGAGGTAAAGGTGTGCACAGAACTAGTCCAGGAGTTAAAATTTGCAATGTAGAAATGCTATTTATTGGAGGTTTTGAGGTGCCCACGTAAGGCAGGAGGGGAGTGTGTGTGCAGTGTAGAAGTTACGAGCATGGGGTCTTACGTCAGACGGCCCGTGTGGTTCAAATCCTAGCTCTGCCACTTTCTGGCTATTTACTATTTCTGGCAAATTATTTACTTCTTTCATCTCAGTTTTCCCATACATGAAGGTAAAAATAGTATTTACTTGTTTATTGCCTGTCTCCCATGAAGATATAAGCTTCATCAGATCAGGATGAAAAATTCCTGATTCACTTCTATAAAACCAAGCACCTAAAGCAGGTAACAGCACACGTAAGCACTCGATTGATGTTTATTGAAAGAAGAAATAATTAATGTGTGTGGTTTTGAAAATGGTATTTATTTTTAGATATTTTCCAGCTTTATTGAGATATAATTTACATATAACATTTGTAAGTTTAAGGTGTACATGTATTGATTTGATACACTTACGTATTGTAAAATGATTATCACTGTAGCATTAGCTACCACATCCATCACATCACATAGTTACCATCTCTTTTTTGTGGTGAGAACACTTAAGATCTACCCTCTTAGCAGCTTTCAAGTATGTAATACGGTATTATTGACTATAATCACCATAGTTAACATTAGATCCCCAGAGCTTATGCATCTTGTAACGGGCAGTTTATACTCTTTGACCACCATCTCCCCAGTTCTCCCACCACCCAGCCCCCAGTAACCACCACTCTGCTCTCTGTTTCTATGAGATGAGCTTTTTTAGATTCCACATATAAGTGAGATCATACAGTATTTATCTTTCTCTGTCTGAATTATTTCACTCAGCGTAATGCCCTCAAGTTTCATCTATGTTGTTGCAAATGACCAATTTCCTTCTTTCTCATGACTGAATAATGGTCCATTGTATATCTATAGCTTGTGGTTGTTTTTAATAGGGCATGTGATAAAATCATGTAAGTAAAAATATTCAGCACATTTTTGGCACGTGTTAAACGTACAATCAATGTTACTATTCTAATTAGTGTGTCAAGTGATCTTTTCCAATGATCATGTTTCCCTGATGCTGTGAGCACTTGTTGCCTGCTCTTTTATCTGCCAGAATGCCCTCTGCACACTTTGTCCCTATTACCCTGCCTCATATTCCCCGTCCCTCAGGAAGCCCCCCTGGCCCTCTCTGGTGGAGTCCCTCAGGGACCCCTCTCTTCTTCAGCCTTCTATGCCTTCTGTGCAGCCCAGTGTCCCTGAGCATCACTTAGTCCATCGTTTTTCACCAGTTGAAAAGAAGCAACAGAATGGAATAGAATGCCATCATTTATTCTGGGGACCACAGACTCTGTGGTCCCTGACTCTGCTGTATGCAGACTGGCTCCCATCTCCTGGGATCTGAAGTGGTTCCTGCAGGGGCAGTGGGATGTAGGGGGACCAAGGAGTAGGGAGCCTTGAGTGCCTGTCCAGGTTCTGCCCCGCATTTGCTATGAATTTTAGGGCCACCACTTTTCCTCCCTGTGAGAATGATCTCTCTCTATTTCCTCTTCTATCCCTCTTCATACCAGTGGGCAGTGAGAAACATAAAGTTTCCTCAGTCAAGCTTCATTGAAAGACCAAAGTTCTAGACATTCGGGGTACTCTGAGGCTCCTCTGGGATAGATTTTGGAGGGAAGACACAACAGAACACAGAGAAGCTTGTGAAAAGTTTATTTTACAGATCACAACTGATACTCCAGCTGAGTTTCCTTAGAGGAAACCTGGGAAACCTGTGACCTGGGGTTGGGGAGCAGAGAGACAAAGGCTTCCACTAAGATCAGGCTATAATTAGGGTTGTAAGGACTTGAAAACGGTTTGCATCAATGGGCACCACTGCCTTATCGTTAGGGCAGATATTTAGTTCACGAATAATGTCAACCACTGCTGCTATTCTTACAGTGCCTGAAAGATACAAGAACAAAGATTATTTCTGGTTAACACTCCAACCCCAGGGTCCTATCTTTTCTACTAGTATCGGGCACCTCCCCATTGGGATTCAGTTTCCCCAAATCATTCGTAAATGTGTCTCCATTAGTAGCTTTTCTCACATAATCTCTCACCTTTCGAACCTGGGCATGGTCCCCATCTACCTTCCCCCTCTTCTTCCCTCCTTTCCTCTCCACCTTTCTTCCCCAGGGTTATGCTTCAGATCCAGAGCCACATTTCTCTTTATGGTTTTCCCTCCCTGGTGATAGTTCTTCACTTGGACAATTCCTATACTTACTGTTGATCTGAAAGTCCCAGAAGAAGGTTCTTGGATAATTTTCACAGAGGCAGCTGGTGTATTTATAGTTAAAAGAGCCATCAATTGGAGCACTGCTTACGAGGTAAGATTTAATCTGGGGAGGAAGAGAGGGGAAGAGAGCACCCAGTGTTAGTCTGGGGATGGGAAAGGGAGAGAAAGACAAGAGGGCGAAGGAGGGGGAGGAGAGGATGTCATTAGAGGGTGAAATGCAGGGACAGAGGTGGGTCAGAGGCACAGGGGAGTCTACTTTTGGAGTATCGTTTCAGGAGCTAAAGTCTAGGTCAGAAGGTTTTCTGTCCTCATGCCTTCAAATTCCTGCTTTAGCAGTGTGGGCCTAGGGCTCCGGAGGGAAGAGGAGGTGAACCCACAGGGTCAGGAGATCTCCTCCTGGGGCAGCTGTTCATGCCAGGAGCAGGCTTGCTTTAGTTCCCTGGCCAGGGCTTTCAGGAATGGGCCTGCGACCGCAGCCTGGATGCTTGGCTGTAGAAGGCAAAGCCAGGCCTTGTTGCCAGACTGTGACCAAGCTCCACCTGTGCTCCTCTAGAACTTGTGACCTTTGGTAATTCAAGTGACATCTCTCACACTCACTTTCCTCAACTGTGAGAGGAAAACAATTACCTACCAAACCTGGCTATTAGATAAGCAAAGGAAATCTTGAAGGTGAATTTCCCTTTTCCTTGTTTAACTTGAGAGGGCTTTACAACTGAAGATCCCAGAGTATTTCGTATGTGCATTTCAGCGGAGTCAGGAAACTTTTGTCTAGTTAGTGTTCAACCCAGGGCTTTAGTCCTGGGCCATAGACCCAGAGAGGTCTGTGAATAGAATTCAGTGAGTCTGTGAACTCAGATGGACAGAAACTGCATCTTTTTTTACTAAGCTGTCATCGAAATCGAGCATTCCTTCTGTTGTGAGGGTCATCAACGAGCAACAGTGGCTTTAGCGGTATGTCTGATTTTATCACAAGGAGAAACAGAGATGTGTTGCTACCACATTACAGTTTTAGATATCTCAGAATATTGCCTGTACTCATTGCTACCTTGGACACATGGGAGTCATCAGAGTGGCTGCCTGGGCATGGCTGGGGCTGCTGCCCTCTCCTGAAGCTCACCCAGGTAACTCTGCACCGAATAGCCTGTTAGCCCCAAACAGTGAATGCAAGCGTTCTCACCATTGGAAGTTTACTCAGAACAATTTGGAGACCCTGGTGTTTCTTTAGAGAAGCCGACACTTGCCTTGTTTACCTTTTTATTACATTTGCAATGATATATCTTCACGAATTGGAATTTTCAATACTTGCATATTCAAGACAAAAAATCAGAACCCACTGGAAGTCCAGCATGACACATGTGATTTGTTGTCAAAGACCATTGCACAGTTGAAGGTACTTATTCAAGCTAAGCAACAACAGCCATGACATAGATAACCCTTATAAAATAAAATAACTTTTCTATATTTTAAATGTATTGCCTATTCAGCTAATGTGTCGATAAAGAAACATGTTTATTACTGTATCACAAGTTTATTTATTTTATTTAGTTAGTTATTTTTTTTGTGAGGAAGATCAGCCCTGAGCTAACATCTGTGCTAATCCTCCTCTTTTTGCTGAGGAAGGCCGGCTTTGAGCTAACATCTATTGCCCATCCTCTTCCTTTTTGTTCCCCCAAAGCCCCAGTAGATAGTTGTACATCATAGTTGCACATCCTTCTAGTTGCTGTATGTGGGACGCGGCCTCAGCATGGCCGGAGAAGCGGTGCGTCGGTGCGCACCTGGGATCCGAACCAGGGCCGCCAGTAGCGGAGTGCATGCACTTAACTGCTAAGCCACAGGGCCAGCCCTCATAAGTTTATTTTTAGTAATTTTATCACTGTTCTTCAATATGGTAAGTTTTCTATGTAATCCAATGTATTTTATTTACACATTTAAAAGCAATTTTCTTATAAAAGTTCCATAAACTTCATGAGACCAGCAAACTGGTCCATACCACAGATGTTTGAGCACTGTGGTTTACTACAAGTTTTCTTCAACCTTAAAGATTTATATGATCTTTATATTCAAATACATGATTGAGAGTATATCAATTCTATTTTAGTTTTATATTTGTGATCCTAATACCTCACTTGATCACAAATTTAGTTGCAAAAACATTACAACTGATAGAAAATGTGGATTAGGTGCTAGAAACTTCACACACATAAAAAATTATATTTTCCTAAAATTAAAAAAATGTGAAGATGTTTTTATAGCTATACATTTATTTTTTATTGGAAGCTGAAAATAAAAATTGGTTGACCAGAACTACCAAAATTTCCTTTCCCATAAACTCTAATTTATTCTATGGAACTCTTTATCCTTTACTTGTACTTGGGTAGGTTGTAAAAAGATCACTTTATTTTATTTTATTGATTTATTTATTTTTGTGAGGAAGAGCAGCCCTATGCTAACATCTGCCAATCCTCCTCTTTTTTTGCTGAGAAAGACTGGCCCTGGGCTAACCTCCGTGCCCATCTTCCTCCACTTTATATGGGATGCCGCCACAGCATGGCTTGCCAAGCTGTGCATCGGTGAGCGCCTGGGATCTGAACTGCCAAACTCTGGGATGCCGCAGCGGAGCACACGCACTTAACCGCTTGTGCCACCAGGCCGGCCCCAAGATCACTTTATTTTATGATACTAGCATTGTTCTTAAAAGATAGTCTTATTAATCACCGTAACACAAAATTATATCACATATCACTTTGTTGGTTAAACACATTTTTTTATACCTGTCACTTTCTCAGAGGTGGAAATGGAGTTTCATTATCTATCATCACCAAAAACTACCATTATCACAAAACTTTTATGCACATGTTCTCACTCCTTTTATCATCTATGGTTATGATAAATAAAACACAAAATTGAAAAATTGTGATTCAATCTCCCTCCCTCTCCAAATTAACATACATGGTTCATATCCTTGGACTGTAAACAGAAGAATTTGACAAAGCAGCTGTCTTATTCTTTGCTCAGTGACCAGAAATCTTTCTCTTATAGGTGTGGGGCCATTTCTAGAATATATTTTAATGAATAGCAATCCTCAAGCTCTCAATTTAGTTTTCTATTTAATCATTGTCCTTACATCTAATTTGAATTAGGAAACTCATGGTGTAGGGAAATACTTGTGCTGCCAGAGAAGGTGTCTTTCTGGAAGGAGGTGGGGGAGTTGCATGGGTCTTGGACCTAGAACAGAGGTAGGTGACAAGGGACAGATTGTGTGTCTGTGACCACACCTGAGAAGACTGCCAGTGAGGTGAAGAAGGACACACTCTTCTCTGGGGGAAGAGTCTCTGTGGGTGAAACCTGCCAAGTCCCTTTTCCTCATGGCCCAGAGCAGCCAAACAGGAGGGATGACGCACAGGTGAGTCTTACGCACATTACCGTTTGAGAACCTCTGATCTAGTACAGGGATTGGACCTCCCTTCCATGGCTGCTGAACTGGGAGAAGGGAGAAGTGTGGGCTCCTCGTCAGGGAGGGGAGGCTGGAACAAGAATCAACTTCTGATGACAGAGCAGAAGAGCAGAGGAGGGGAGAGAGGAAAGCAGACTCTGCTCAGGGCTTACTGAAGAGGAGAGTCATATCTTGCACATTCTCTGCATCTTCTCTCTTCTCCCCACCTGCCTCAACCTATTGAATGGGGTTGTGGTTTTTCCTGTTAAGAACCCCCCTCCCACCCCTTATCTCAAGCAATCACGCCCAGGACCTTGGAGGAACTCTTCCCAATTCTCCCCAGCTCTTACACTTTTTTCTCTTCTCCCTCTTAGCTGTGCTTTACTCTCGACCCATTCCTTCTTTCTCTCTTTCTCATCCTTCCTACAGCTCTCTGGATAAGGGTTCCTTCATCTGTAAAATGAGAACAGTAATCGGCCCTGAGCTCCCATGATTGTTCTGAAGCTCAAGTGGCACAATATAAAGGAGAATTGGAAGCATGGGTTGCTATTCATTATGTTATTAATTATAATATGTGATATTAAAGTGAGAGATTAATCTAACTGTATTTGTAATTAAGGAGTAGGATTTTTGAGTTCACTCTCCCAGGCCTCTACTTACCACCAAACATTCTCTCAATTGTGTCTTAACTATAAGCTGCGCAGTGACCTCTTCATTTGGACTTGCACTTTGGGGTATCTCCAAGTCCATTATTATCGCCTTTCGACTGTAATAGAGAAGCAGGAAAGAGATCAGAGATCAATCCACGAGAGAGGGGGGTACACTGAGCAGGGCAGAGGGAACAAGGAAGGTGCAGGGAAAGGAGAGGATGAGAGTTGGATCAATTGCTGAGTGTCAGAATCCCCTGGGAACTTTTGATTTTTGGTTGATTTGGTTGTTCTGTACAGATTTATTTTTGCTTAAAAAGGCAACTTGGATACTTTAAAACTGAACATTTTCTTTTCTTCCATTGACAAAAAATAAATTTAAAAAAAGAATGAAAGTGCAATAACACATGCCACAGCCTAATCAAGTTCTACAGGTTCTGCTGATTGTGCACTGAGTGGAAGGGCTCAAGTCATCATCAGTAGAAAATTCCATATCAACAGAATCACATTAAACTGTAAACATCTCAATGCACTGGAGGAGTTTGTAGGACCACCCTTGAAGATCCTCCTTCTTTGGTTCCCCATGGGGCCTAGGAATTTGTATTTATTCAGCTGTGTAGGGGATTTGGACACATGGCCATTATTGGGAACTTTAGATGCTACCTTACATTCAGGTCACACACTACAACCTGATAGGAAAAAGGAAATGAGGGCAAAGAGAATGGCCAAGTATCCTTCTTCAGTCAATGAGGACTGGGTTCAGGACCAGGAGAGTTACTTTCACTTTTCCAGAAACGGCTGGCTCAGCTCTTTTGGGGTTGAGTGGGACAGGAGAGAATTCAGTTTCTTGGCCTACAATGATTCACAGTCCCATTTTCCTAGGGTAAAACATAGATTTCAGAGAGATTCCATTTCTTATACCAGTTGCTCCAGTGCTCAGTGCACAGAAAAGGGGTGTGAAGACTTAAGTGTTTTCATAATTCCTCCCATTTGTAAATAAATTTAGGATTGATAGGATGACCAGCTTAGCTAGAGTGACCACTCATCCGAGTTTGCCCAAGAGTAAGGAGCTTCCTGGGATGAGGGACTTTCAGTGCTAAAACCAAGAAATTCCTAGGCAAACTGGGATGGTTGGTCGCCCTACTCAGCACAGCTTGTTTCAACAACTTGCTACCCCTCAGGGATAAGTGGAGTGACATCTGTATCTCAACGTGTCCCCACTCAACGTTTCTTGGGACACCTGCCTCCACTATACCAGCTTGTCAAGACCCTGAATAGTTTCCTCCAGAACAGGACATCTGGTCATGCCAAAGAGGGTACCATCAGAATCACAATCCAGAGACCCAGCATTCTAAACCCTGTTCCTGTAGAGAAAACTTCCTAGATTTGCTGAGTGTCCTTGGTTGTCCCCAGACTCTGGCTCCATTTCCTGTTTCATTTTGCTTGCCCCATTTTTTTCTGCTTCCTTCAAACATGTACCCTCAATGAGTTGGCTTCTGAACCTGTGCTCCCAGGCCCATGTTGGTGGGAGGGTGAGTTGTCCTCACATTCATATTTGGGCTTCAGAGTAGGAAGAATGGCTAAGCTACTGGGCTAGCTCAACCTCAGACCATGAAGTCAAGGATCAGTGACCAGGTCCTCTGATTCTTCAAGGAGTCCTTCCAAAGCTGCCCAAAGCTATTGTTGGAACTCACAGACCTGCTAAACTTTCTGTTCCAGGAGGCAAGATGTGAGAAGGTGAAATTTACTGAGCAGAAATCTAACAAAGGTGTAGTCTGTGTACGGGATGTGGATCAGAGCTTTAAAGCAAGACTAATTGTTAATTACTACTTATAAGTATACTGGCAGTCTTATTTCCATGGGCAACCTAGAAGCACCCAGTGGAAATGTGAGGGGAATTGTTGGGGCTTCCTAAGAGGAGATAAGTGGGACTTGGCGTGGGATTCATGAGAGCTCCTGGGACTGGAGTTCTGGGAAGTTGAAAAAGTTTTCAGGAAGGGATATGTATATTTCCAGACTAAGAGAGGAGCCCTCCCCAAAAGGTTTTTTGTGAGGTGGAGAAAGGTTTGGCTCACGTGTCTTCCTGAGCTTTGTTGATCCCCAGCTGCAGACAGAGAACCAGGAGCAGGGCAGCAGGGCTGGCCCTGAACAGGAGCTGGAAAGAGCGCATGCTGGAGGAAACAGAATGTGATGTCCTAGAGAGCAGTAGGGTCCCAGGTGCCCAGCACACTCCTTATATGCAGATCAAGGTCAAGGAAGTAGGAGAGCTGCCAAGCGGATTTATGTGGTTAATTACCCAATTACCCTTCCCATTCATGATCTTTCCTTGTTGAACTAAAGTTTGTTTTTCTATGGAATAAGTCAACATTCAACTAGAGTTTTAGAGTCTAGGAGAGGAGTTAGATTATCATTCCTTATTTTCTCAGTATCAGAGTGTCTCAGACTGGCCAGACCATCAAAAGACATAACAGCTCTTTCTTGGCTTACGGAAATGCTTTCTTTTCCCTCATTGTCATTATACGCCTGTCTGTCCTGCTGTATGTAGACTTAGCTTCAGTCACTGCTCCCCTAGTTTCTGGAGGCAGAGAACCCAGTTGTGGTAGCAGATTTCAGATCACAGCTCTAGGACACATTTGCTCGATCCCATTTTAGTAAGTTCAAGAGGGGATATTGTTCAAAAAATTTCTTAGGGAGCTAGGGTGATCAGGGCTTCCCTCAGGGCCACCACAAATCGTGCAAGGGGACAACTAGAGACAGGCTGTTCTGGATGATGAAGTTAGGCCATAGTACTGGATGACATGAAGATGTTTGTGATTGTTGTGTCCTTCTTAACTTCAGGAACAATGGTAATGCCCTACAGACATCCATGATCCCGAGCTACCCCAAAGTCTTCAGAGCAGGGCAATATTTTAACTCTAGACAATTCCTGTAAATAGGTGGCATTCTCAGTCAGACTTCTTGGCACCAAAGAGTCTTCTTATTTCACTATTGACATGGCCACTTTCTTACACTTCTTTTACAGCTCAAGGTGCACAGGGAGACCAACAATGGGAAGCATTCCTTCCCTTAGAACAGAACCCAAACCATGTCCAGAAGATTACTCTGGCCCTGGAATTTCCCTCCCTGGGATGAGAGGGAGACTCATTTTTGCTGATACTGACATTGTGATATTTCTCTTTACTCAACTAAATTTATTCCTTAACCTATGTTGTATGTCATTGTGCAATTTGTTCCTATCCTTTCCATGAGAGATAGCAGCCCAGGAAGATCCTGTCTGGCATGAAAGTGAAAATCAGAGTTTTGGGAGTTACCCACGTATGTTAGTGTAGGCAGGATTCAGGATTAAAGTCTAAATGTATGTTTCTGATTCCTGAATGTATTTTTCCAAATTGCTCTGCCTGCTTATTGTAGTCCTCCACTTCCCTCCTCATTCCTGTGAACTTGACATCATTCATGTCCTTCCTCACTTATAACTTCAGTTATTATTTTGACCACATGCTTTCTTCTCTGTTGCCATTCCATGTACGCAGGAACAATGTTTTCATTCCACCTCGCCCTGGTCACAATGACCCTCCTTCATAAACACTCTCCCATGTTGTAATTTTCTTTATACCGGCTCCTTCTCTTATTTACTTGAATAATTTCCATCAGAAGGGCATGTGACCTGAGATTAATGAAGAAGTAGGGTAAAAGAATCTAGGAAGTGTCCTCGTGGGAAAATCCAGGCGGAGCTCTTAGCTGGGGTTTAACTCCCTTTGAAGAAACAGCCTCACCCTTGAGGAGTACCTCCAGCATAATCCCAAAAGGCAGTGCTCCAAAAGGGGCAGATGACAATGGGTTGAGAAAATCTATTGAATGTAAAGATGCTGTTCTCTCATAGGTCTGCAGGGAACTGCAATACTCAGAACCTTAAGTGTACGTGACACATCCTAAGTACTATGCAGGTCATGGCTAGTGCAGTGGTTAGTTTTATGTGTCAACTTGGCTAGACCATGGTACCTAGTTTTTGGTTAAACACCAGTCTAGATGTCACTATGAAGACATTTTTAAAAACGAGATTAACATTTAAATTATTACATATAGAGTAAAGCAGATTACCCTCTATAATATGAGTGGTCCTCATCCAAAGCCTTAAGGGAAAGGACTGAGGATACCCAAGAAAGAGAAAACTGCCTCAAGACTGCCTTCAGACTCAAGCTGCAACATCAACTCTCCCCTGGGTCTTCAGATTTTGAACCTGCCAGCCTCCACAATTATGTGAGTCAACTCCTTAAAATAAATCTCTCTCTTTAAATATATACATATATATACACATACACACACATCCTATTGGTTCTGTTTCTCTTTTAGGAACACTGATACAGCTGGTGTTTGGGAAGGGACAATAAATTTTGAAAGGGATGGAATTCATATTGGTTGAAAGCATACTAGGAATCTTGGCGTGAAACCAGCTTCTAAACGCCTGATATAGCAGGAATTTCAGATGGGAAGGGCATATAGGAAGTGAAGAAGATACCACCTCGGTGTGTTGTGCTGAGTTCTTAATGCCATTTTTGCTGAGCTTCAGGAGGTTTCAGTGTCACTTCAACAGGCAGTGAAATTCTGAGATATAAGACAGATAATTGCTGATGGAACATAATTTTGAGAGGCAGTACATGATGATATTTACCTATATATTAGTTTTAAAATTATTATCTTTTAAGTGATGGTCCTATATTTGTCAAAGATATCATGGAAAATCATGGCTACAGAATAATGGAATATGGGCCAGTAGGAATGGCCATAATTTCTATCTGTAACTCTGTTACGTGTGTTTGATTATAGTACTCCTGGGTATTTTGGCCCGATTTAAATGTTTGCAGACATTGGTTAAATAATTCTGACTTAAATATCAATGAATATTTATTCCAGAAAGTGATATAGTTTGAGGGCCAATAAGACAGTAAATCACTGCAACATAGTTTCTTCAACCGCTACCCAAACTGCGTAGAAGAGCTGCATGGAGATGAACAGTGTCAGGCAAACCTTGCAGCAGCATGCTTTCTTGTATATTTTCATTGAATTTAGCTTAAAATCAGGAACTAGGCAAATCCACCATGCAAAAATCCGTGTTTCCCAAGTCTGCTCCGCAGTTGGCACAGAGACTGTCTTCATGGAGCTGAATATATCTGAAAAGATCAATATTTCAGAGGTAAGGTAGAATCTAAGTAGCTGCCACAGTTTTATAGATACAATGTAGGAATGTTTTCGGTATGTTATTTATGACAAAACTTTGAGGATAATGCCACATTCTTCCCAGTGCTATCGTTCAGAAAACCAATCTAGCAGATGGTTCCTAGGGGGAAAAAGTGAAACCCAAATTGTCATGTCTTTTACATTATGAACAAGTCCAGCAGGTTTAAGAAACCAAATAGAGGTTGATAAAATCAGATTGTAAACAACTCAGGAGGCTCATAGAAGAGAAAGTGCACAAGTGCAAGGGGAAGGGATTAAGGATAAGGGAGAAGCTTGCCCCAGCTTATATTTGCAAAGAGCAAGGTAATCCTAGACCTGACAGGGCTCCTGAAAGAGAAAGATAAGGAATGACCAGAGAAGGGGATTATAGAAGCCAACACACATTGAGCACACACATGAATGACACTGTGCTAAAGATTTTACATGTATTAACTCAATCATCAAAACAACCCTGTGAAGTAGGTTGCCAGCTTTCTCTCATTTTACAAGTGGGGAAATGGAGGCACGTAGCACATAAATATATTGAGCCCAGGTCACATAGCCAGTAACTAGTGGAGCCAACTTCGGATCCAGGTTTTGTGGAATCTGAAAGTTTCGTTTTACAATATTGGGAACCTCTTTCAGAAACAGAATACAAATACTTACAAATTTGAAATGCAGATACAAAACCATGGAAGAGGCTGTAAGTGAGCGGCCCTGAGGATTCACATCAACTTTATGGTGAATACGTATTTAGATGGGCCAGAATTTGAACCAGACAGTCTGGTTCTAGAACCTGAGGTTTTAACTACTCCAATAACTACCGGTGAGGACAAGGCCCTAGTGAGGCATGCCCAAACACTAGTGGAGAGCCCTAAGTGGGTAAATACAAAGACCACTATAAGCATACATTTTATCTTCTATGGTTGACCTTTCAAGGGTGTTTTTCCATAAAGTTGATGTGAACAATCTCAGCATTCATTCTTTCTTCTATATATTCATTTCTCCACCCTTCATCCACCTAATCCCTTCAGGTAATCCATTCTACAAATATTGATTGAGCACCTACCATGACAGGGAGGTGATGGGCATACAGAGATGAATAAGACAAAGTATAGTGGGGGAGGCAGTCAAAATAACAAATTCAATAGGCTGTGGTCAGCACTATAATAATAGTTTCTGTTTACTGAGGACTACTTAGTATTTTGCAGGGTTAACCTAAAAGGAGCTGGCAGCATTGGGACCTGTTTCTGTTCATCCATATATTCTAAAAAGTATCCAAACAAACACCTAAAAACGATAAAATATAAATTTGATTCAAAAGTTTTGAATAGTATCGTAAGTCTTTACTATAGTTATTCTTTTAGGAGAGATGGAAAAGTTTTACACATTATATTCCACAGACACCTTTCTTAGTGTCTTCCTTGATCCCAACGTTTTTCTCTTAATGGTAGCTGCTAGAGATGTCCTCTTGTCTCTCTCATCAGTGTAGGGTGCCCACCACCATAGTGTTTCCCCAATTCTTATCGCTTTTTATACACTGAGTACTTTTGAAAAATGACCCTCTCTCCCATTGTGAAAGACCTCAGAAGTACAGCTCAGCTCCTTTTGTCTCCTTTTCTCATGAGAATCACATACCCAGAACTATTGTGTAGAGCTTCTTCAAATACCAAAAACAACAATAAAGAACAAATACTTATAGACTGCTTACTATGTCAGATTCTATTCTAAGTGCTTAACATTTTATTCACCTATTCCTTAAAATGATCATATAACTTAAGTATTATTCCCATTTTATAGATGGAGAATTTGAGGCCTAGAGAGAGAAAGTACTTGCTCAAGGTTGCAAAGTTAGTAACTGGCAGAGTTGAGGTTCAAAATCAAATAGTCTGATACCAGAGTCTAAGTCCTTAAGCACATTTACTGTCTCTTAATGTAACATTTCACATTTGAGGTAAGGAAATTCACAGAATTTTAATAGCTTGTTCAAATCATACAGCCAACAAATAAAAAAAGTGATATTCAAACCCAGATAGAAGCGAACCTGAGGTTGGCACTCGTAACGACTACTCTATATAGTCTCCTAGTTAATAAAATGGTG